TATATTAGTGAAAACATATGAAAACCAAAAATTTCTTTATAATATATAAAGTATATTTGATAACTAAACCTGTACAGTATCATTAGTTAAACAACTTTATTATGACTAATAACAAATCTGTAAACATTAATTTTCTAATCATCTAAACTTTAATAAACTGTAAACAATTAAACTTAAAAAAAAATGTTTGAAAATAATTAATGCTGTATTAAATATAGAAAAACAAACATATAATAACACAATTATATCCTAAACCAAAATTCATTCATGCAAGAGAAATTATTATACATTTATTAAAAAGCCAGAAACATTTTTTAAAGAAAAAAAGTATTAACAATACTATAGATAAATTTTATTTATAACAAATTGTTTTCATTGCTTTTATCCCAATTATTAAAAGCATGTAAAAGCTTGAAACTACCCATAAACATCTTTTAACCCTAGACACCATCTAACAATAATAGTAATCTATATTTTCAATATTAACATTTATAACACGAAGCTTTAAATTTAAAAGTTTTAAATTTAAACTTACAATAAATTTAAAGTTACAATAAATTACTTAATAAAATTTTAAAAAGATTATATATTACCTACAGTTTTAAGCCACTAAACATCTACTTAATGTCTAATTAAACATTTTGAACTCGTGAATGAAACTACCTTTTAATCATTTTTAAACAACAGACACCGACATAAAGATAAGCCAATGGTAACAACATTACGCAAAAAATTATCAAATATATTGTTATGTATTTTCAGTATAGTTATATTAAAAGCTAGACAAAACTTAGACCTAAAGCAGTGGCACCGCTTGATTAGTAAGGTTGAAAAATATTGCTCTACACTTCTGCCAAGTCACACTATTTTGAAATCATGAAAACAATATTATATAAACGTATATACTAACGATATAACAGAATATATTTTTTTAATGTTATATAACATATAAAAACACCTCATTTAACAATCATATATACATTGGATAAAATACATTTCATACTATTAAAAAAATAAATTTATAAAACAACTACATAACATATATCACTACATACACATATTTATTAAAAACCTTTTTAACTTTGAGCATAATATAAACATATATGCAAACTTTTACCAACTATAAAAAACATTTATTTGCTTCAATTATTTTTAATGTAACAAAGAATGCAGACTACAAAAATAAACAACATTGTTAATAAAAATGAAGTTATGTCAGTCAATATATGTTTATCTAAAAGATGAAATCATTTAGGAACAAAATTCAAAATTTCTAATAAATAATAATTCAGATACCTTAAAATGAAGTCTAACACAACGTTCTTTTGACAAATTCCAGAAGAACTTTTTTTAATTTTCCTATTCCTAATTATTTTTCCCAAGAGAAAATATACATATAGTCTATATATCAATATACATATAGTCTATATATCTATATCTAAATACATATAGTCTATATATCTATCTCTAAATATACATATAGTCTATATATCTGTATTAGAGATATAGAGAAATACAAAATAGACTGAAATTAACGCAAAATTTTGTATATAAACTTACATGACCACAAATAACAGTCTTTTTTTATTTAACTTTTCATGCATAAATATAATTTTATTCTCATTATTCTTTTTACAAAAAATAATCTTAATCTATAAATAAGAAAATGAATTAAACTTACTAAAAAAGCCACCAGCTTTTCTTAAACATTAGTTTCAGATTAGCTAAATCTGATCAAGCCAGTTTAATCAGCTTGATAGCTAAAAGTAAAAAAGAATAATACTCCATAAATATTTAATATAAAAATATACAGGAATATATTCAATAAAAATCTAAAATAGTGACAAAATTTAAACATACATGTAAAAATTTTTAAATAAAATTTGCCAAAAGTTGCTACTTTTTATAAATGTTGCTGACAGAGCCTCGACCTAGGCTCACAATTTTAGGGGACCCAAATTGAGTTTTTAGAGATTTGCTTAAAAGTTGTGTCCAAAAACCTAATTCTATTTTTGATTATCTACATAATTTTTTGGTAGATTTCAAAGTTCTTGCAAAAGATGGTTTTATTTAAGAAAATATTGAGTTCGAAATCAATTTTGTTGTTACATATGTGATGCACCAGCTAGAACATTCGTTAAGTGCAGGCGCGGAAATAGGGTATAGCCCTTGTGGCTAAGGTTACAAATTAAAATATTCAATGAAATAAAAACCAATATAATATTCCAGCATATTTTTGAAATAAAAGTAATGTAAATAACTAAGATAAGTTTATTTTTGTTCGCTGTGTAAATTCGGCTTTAAAAGCGATAACTTAAAACCGAAAAAACCGGAATTAAAAAAAATATAGGTCATTGCATACCGGTTTGTGGCTAAGCCACAAACGACTTAATTTTACGGCATAAGCTGACTAATTTATCGTTTTTTTTTAACGTAATATATTTTTATTGAAAAGTCGTATGTCGTCAACACTCGTAGCCCGTGGCTACCCAAGTAGCAAACAATATTGGCGCAATATTGGCTCAACATTGTTCGTAATATGGGCGCAATATTGATAACAATATTGGACCAATACAAAATGTGTAGATTTAGCAATATTCGCCCAATATTCAGTTTATATATTGGACCAATATTGATTACAATATTGGTGCAATATTTGTTTACAATATTGGTCCTATATTGTTTGCAATATTGGACTAATATTGACAACAATATTGGACCAATATAAATGTGTAGATTTAGCAATAATCGCCGAACATTTATTTTATATATTTGCCTGATATTGATGGGAGTATTAGCTCAAATTTGATTGTATTATTAGTCCAATATTGTTTGCAATAATAAACCATATTTATATAATCAAACCAGTATTTTTGCTATATTTATCAAAAACTGTATGAGAGTATTTGCGCAATATTTGTCACAATATTGGTCTAATATAAAGTGTAAACATTTAGCAATATCCGAACAATATTGTTAACGATATGGGTTTATTATTAGCGAAAATATATTTATTACAATTATTAAGATATAAAATAAATCTATTAAATATTTGGTAGTTTATACTTGTTCAATTTAAATGTTTCTATAGAAACATTTCAAAATACTGGTTTGAATAGTACTATTCAAACAAGTATTTTGAAATGTTTCTATAGAAAAATTTAAATTAAACAAGTACAAACTACGAAATATTTAATAGATTGGTTTTATATTTTTACTAATTTATGTTATATTATAATATACAAACCATATAATTTGTATTTCATACTTTATCATACAGTCTTAGTACTTCATTTTAAGGTATAAAATCAAAGCTAATATTTTATGTTTATTTATTTCCAAAGAAATATATATTTTTATATAAATGTTAAAAAAGTCTCATATAAACTTTAAACAATAAAGGAAAAGAAAAACTACAAAATAATTTTTTCTCTGCAGCAATAAACATTTTTTAAAGATTGACGATAATGGAAAATATGAATATTGTTCTGACCACTGATCAACTTTGAAGACATTAAGTTTTGATGAATCGCATGGATAACTGTAAAAATTTGTTATTATTTTAAAAATGCGACAAATAATAATTATTCCATCATGCTCTGAGTCAATAATATTGCAAATTACAACAACTTTTCCATCATTTAATAACGCGCATCGGTTTGCTTTTTCGGTAGAAAAAAGACAACTAGAAAATTTAAGTTGTTTATATTGTACTTCTGTAAAGGTAAGAGTTGGACCTTGGTGGTGAGTTTTACGCAATGTCGGTTCTAATAATTTCGGTTCATCCAAAAAAGCAAAACTTTGCTCAGATAAACGCTGACACAATTGTCTTAGTGGCAATCGGCCAGTTCTTATCATTTTTTTCATTGAGCCATGCATGTTCTCAAATGGGAATGCGCTAAAATTATCAAGAGCGCCTAAACGTCTAACATCATCACATATGTGAATAAGACTATGCAAAGTGTAACTTAACGAACTAACACCATACAAACTAGAGAGTTCTTTAACAAACATTATTAATAGTTTTTCAGCATAATAAAAATAAATATAAGATGCATCTGGATTAGCTAGTATCGAAATAGCAACATTTAAAAGCATAAAATGATGGTATATTTTCGATGGTAAGTGGTTCCTTAAAACAACCGGACCAACGTAACATAAAAAAAGTCTAAATTCCGTGGCTTTCCATCAACTTATTTCTTTGAGAGACCGTGGTTTTCTGGAAAACTCAAAAGGAATACAATTAACTAAGCTAATCATCTCTTTAGATATAGTATCAGCATTTCCTTCGCTTATTTTAACGTTTCGTGAGCCACGAAGCCAATGCAATAACAATTTCACCAAGTCGCACCAAGGCATACAAGATGCATATATTCCAAAGTAAATTGAGAAACATGTCCAATATTAGGCTCTAGAAGTAGTGATATAATATTTTTTTTATGATGCTGTTTTTGTTGACGATTAAAAAATGAGGCATCTGTTCGCTTCTCTGCATACAACTCTGGAAATGTAACTTTTCTTTCAACATATTCTCCAACTTGAATACACCTTTCGCACCCATAATAGCCATTGTGGCTTGTTATACCTTTAACAAATGCTCGAGCAGGTGCATTGCATATAAAAGCATTCACAGCTATTGTAAAAAAAGAACCTGCTGCAACAAATCCTTGCTTCTCAAATTTTTTAACCTCTGCAACAAAATCATATAAAAAACGTCCGCTGTTATTGGTTTACTACTTCCACAAAACAAGCGAACTGCAAAAAGTTTATAGGTAGTTCCATCATAATTTACTGAACAAAGTATTGGCCAAAATTGCTTTGCAGAACTTTTAAAAAGTGGCAACCCATCAATGCTAAACCGAAACAATAGTCTCCATATATTGTTACTTTGTTTGCATTTTCCATTAATTTTATTAACTGTTTTTTAAGTCCTATATAAACATATTCACCACAATTATTGTGGATATTATACATTACAGTTATATAATCAAGTTTCTTGGTTTTTAAAACAGTTCTAGCATCTTTTGGTAAGGGATGATATCGACCAAAAATAAGTAATAATTCAGATTAAGCAGTATGTCTTATGTTATGCTTTACAGACCAAGTTGCAAGCAAGTCCTGTAAATTTTCATTATGCTCGTTTGCATCACAATCATTTGAACAAGATGGGTAATAGTTATTGCCATTCTCATCGGATGAACTCAGTGGAGAGAAAGAGTCATTCGTAAGTTCAACAGTATTTGTATTTTGCTCAACATCATTTGTTTCACTTTTAAATTGATTATCTGTTATTTCAAAATCTATACTTTTGCTCCCGTCAACCAAATTCTCTAAAGAATTTGTTATATAATATGATATATAAAATATAAAAAAAGTTAAATATACTAAAACAATTCCACTGTTACAGTGATAATTTGCAATAACATTACATAAACTTACGCCCACTGCTGCTGGTGCAAGATAAAATTTCATTTTGTTGCAAGTCTTTCAATCTTATTTGCATGCTACTATTCGAAGTTTCTAATTCTTCTAAATGCTTCTTAACATTTCTTCTGATAAAGTTTGATCGAGCTGCATACCTTTTATTTATTTTTTGTTTAAACATGATCTAAACAATACAAAAAATGAATATTTTAAATTATATTATGGTATACTCCGTTTCAAATCCATAGATAAAACAAAAAAATATCCCTAATGCTTCGGAATTTGGAGTGAGCATAAATAACAACCTTGAGGGATTGGAGGTTCTTAATTTCAGGTGTATAATAGCGCTATTACATTATATTATAAGTATACGAGCGGATACGTTTATTTGGCACCTCAGAGTATATCCTAGATTTTTGTCAGACATAACTTTTTAAAAAACTTTAAAAAAAATCCCACTTTAAATACTCTTTTTAGCAAGGTGAAGGAGGAAGGGGGAGAGGGGGAGGGGAGGGTTCAAAAGTGTACATACTATTTAGGGGGTTGGGGGAAGGGGGAAGGAATCTTAAAAGTAGGCATGACAAAAAGAGACAGGGTCAAATTTCAAATTTTTTGGTGCACGTTCTTTATGGAAGACCCCTATATATGTATATTTATATATATATATATATATATATATATATATATATATATATATATATATATATATATATATATATATATATATATATATACTTATATACATATATATATATATATATATATATATATATATATATATATATATATATATTTATATACATATATATATATTTATATATATATATATATATATATAAATAAATATATATAAATATGTATATATATTATTATATATATATATATATATATTTATATATATATATATATGTATATATATATATATATATATATATATATATATATATATATATATATATATATATATATATATATATATATATATATATATATATATAAATAAATAAATATATATATATATGTATATATATTATTATATATATATATATATATATATATATATATATATATATATATATATATATATATATAAATATATATATATATATATATATATATATATATATATATATATATATATATATATATATATGTATATAAATATATATATATATATATATATATATATATATATATATATATATATATATATATATATATATATATATATATTTATATATATATTGCAAAAAAAAATAACCATTTTATTAAAAATATTAAAAAAAAAATTATTTTTAGTTAAAAATCATAGTTTTTATGTCATAAAATCTTAAAAAATTTATTTAATATTAATTTATTAAATGACCTATATAAAATGAATATTACTTTTAGAACTTTTAAATAGTTTAAAAGTTTAGTTAACAGTTTTAAATAATTTGAAAGGGTAAGAGCAAAACTTCAAACACAAATAAATATTAAAAAAAAAACATTTTATATCATTTCTTAAATTCATTAGGCTGAGTATCCAAGACATTTTTCTCATGTTCAACTTCATCGCCACTACTTTTGCAGATGCTACGTTTTTTTCTGCCTCCATCTTAATCTATAGCTTGCGCTAAAAAACTGCTGATTTTCATTTTGATTTTGGCTTCAGTTGAATCAGGAAACTGTTTCATAACAGCAGCTACAAACAAGTATAAAGTTTTTACTAAATTATCAAAGCAAAAAATACTATTCTATTAAAGTTAAAAAAAATTGCTTAATGTCAAAAAAAAATTTGAGAAAAAAGGAAAAAAAAAAAATCTCTATGCTAAAAACTATATTTTGATAAAACTACAACAACCTATTACAGCTCTGCAACATTTCAGTTTTGCAAAAGATTTCTTTCCTTTTTAGTCTTGTCCTGAATATAATAAACTTTTGATTGTATTTAATACCACCAACGGAAGCCAAACGATTTGTCTATTATATTCATTAAAAAGAACAACTATAATCAGTTTGAAAAAAAATAATTGTTACTTTATATATATATATATATATATATATATATATATATATATATATATATATATATATATATATATATATATATATATATATATATATATTAAATACCATAGCAATCAGGCGTCATACTGATTTAGGAAACTGTGAGGGTTTCAGTACAGGCATAGAAGAGAGTTACTCCTAAATCAAATGAGGGTTTGGGATAAGTTAGTTTATAATTGGGATAAGTTTGTTTTTAAATAGCCGTATTTAAAATGTCAGTATTTTAGCTAAAGATTCTATCTTAGAATTTTTTATATATTTATATATATATATATATATATATATATATATATATATATATATATATATTTATCTATATATATATATATATATATATATATATATATATATATATATATATATATATATATATATATATATATATATATATATATATAAATATATATAAATATATATATATAAATATATATACATATATATATATATATATATATATATATATATATATATATATATATATATATATATATATATATATATATATATATATAAATATATATTTCATTTTAAACAAAATAGGAATAAAAAAATAATATAACTTTACCAGTGACTCTAACATGTTTTTGTTGCAGAGAATTTTCTCCAGCAAAATAAGGTCATCATCTGTTAGTAGTGGTAACTGATTCCAGTGATTTATTTGTGGCTTATCTATCAATCCAATAGCAGAACTGTTACGAATTGACACAACTTGTGTTTCAATTCGCTCCAAACAATTTAGTATCTTTTTCATGTCATATTGGATAGAAACAAACATATCCAAACACTTTTTTTTAAATGCTTTAAATAAATAATAATCTTTTAGAACTTTACTAAAAATTAATCTCATAACACTAAATCAACAAATACATAAAATAAAATATAATTGTAAATATAATTACTTAAAAATCTTCTGTCCAATAAATTAGATTGATTTTCGCTTTCTTCATTATTCGTCACTTTTGATTGATTTGAACTTGTGAGTGGGTTTTGGGGTTTTAGGGGTAATTTTAGTTTTGATTTAGCTTAAAAATTTATCTTATTTATTGAAACAGGTTGTTTCGGAGACAATGAAGCTAAAAAACTTCTTTCATCACTGTCATCATCACATACACCAGCACCACAAATAACTGTCTTATCAATTTTAAATTATTTTTGTGCTGAATCTGCCTTACTATTACTGATATCTACACTTGAGGTATACAATAGTTTATCCATCAATGACGTAGCAACGTTAAATTCATCTAAAATAATTCAAAAAAATATAAACAACATAAAAATGTACATATGTAATTTATTTGTATTTAAAAAAAGCAATAACAAAAATATGAAAATAATCAGCTTAAATATACTTGATCCTCCAAGTATACAAACTGCATATTTCCCCCAATTGCTACTTGGTGCAACAAAGTATGTATATATATATATATATATATATATATATATATATATATATATATATATATATATATATATATATATATATATATATATATATATATATATATATATATATATATATATATATATATATAAAATTACTATTATTATATGGCATAATTAGAAAAATAAAATATATAAACATGCCCTATAACTTTTCATTTACTTAATTTGTAAAAAAAGTATAAGGAATAAGGATCAAAAATTTATATAGATTTAACTTTATCTATAAACTCTATGATCTCATTTCATAATATAATTTTTATAGTATAAATACAACAGCTTTTATATATATATATATATATATATATATATATATATATATATATATATATATATATATATATATATATATATATATATATATATATATATATATATATATATATATATATATAGTAGTATATATATATATACATATATATATATATATACATATATATATATATATATATATATATATATATATATATATATATATATATATATATATATATATATATATATATATATATATACACATACACGCATAGAAATAATAATATATATATATATATATATATATATATATATATATATTATATATATATATATATATATATATATATATATATATATATATATATATATATATATATATATATATACACACACACGCATAGAAATAATAATATATAAAAAACCTACTATTTTAAGCTTATTATACACTTCTCTTTCTTTTTTTATCATAATTTAAATTTTTATCTAAAATTGGGGTTTTATATAAAAATTTAAAAAGTCATAATGAAGTCTGCAAACGTATTAGGATGTTGCTGCACATTATCTTCTTACGTTTGTATAAAACATTAAAATAAAATAGCTTTTTTAACATGGCCATTGTATTTTAACGTTTTCTATTTAAGACTAATGACTTTTCTTTTATATGCGTTTATATAAGTTTAAAATAAATGAAAAAATAATTAAATTAATAAATTCTAAAAATAAATAAATAAAATATTACATCTAAGTAGAATTTGTTCTTTCGTTAAGCTATGTAAAAATTGTTCGTTTAAAACTTTAGTCAAACTTGTTTAAGGCCATTATTGATATTTAGTAAAGGTACGCATGCGTACAATCATGTCGTTGCCATATATTGGCAATTCAATGTTTTTTGCCAATATCGGTCAATGCGTCCATGCCAATATTAGAGCAATATACGCCTTCCAATATTGGCATACAAATATTGGTGCAATATTGGCTAACAATATTGTATGCCAATATTAGTGCAATATGGGTAGACAATATTGGCGCGATATTTTATATCTTGGCCAACGTACCTAATATTGCGCCAGTATTGCGCCAATATTGTTTGCTACTTGGGTAGATTGTTTTTTGCCTTGTAACTGTACTTATTTCCCAGCTATTTTCAAATAAGCAAAGCGCTTTTATTATTTTCTTAGTAATTTGGCAATTATGGAGGATATGTTTTGAAAAAAAACTATTCCAAATGCTTTGAATATCTCACCAGTTTAATTTCATAGTTAAACTTTTGGCTTGAAAATGCCCTAATTTAAATGTTTTTATGCCATTTTTTAAAATGGATCAAGGGTTTGACAAAACTTTTGTAGCTTTAAGGTATATTTTTAATTATGTTTTCACGGAATATATTTGTAATAAAAATAACTAGCTTTTTATAACTGTATCTAGTTTACTTATATACAACTGTTTCTGTATTTATTGTTTTAAAATTCTTATAACATTTAACTAAAACATTATTATTTTATTAAACAAGTTATTACTATAAATAATAGTTTTGCCTTAGAGCTATATAAACAATTTTTATTATTTTTTGCTATAAATGTAAATAACTTAAATATTTTTATTTCTTCAAAAAAAATTTTAATCTTCAAATTGAAGCTTTAATTAAAGAGAATCTTAGAAGTTGATTCTATTGTTAACTAGAACCAAATATAATACAATATTGGAGACTATAATGTAAGAGAGTCCTCAAGAAAAAGTTGAAGGAAATATTTTTGAACTACTTAGTTTTGGAATTTATGCAGGTGACACTATCTTATAAGATCATTTAATATCAGCCCCTAAAAATATCACGTTATTTCTTAAACCACACAAAATCAACTTACGGAGTGTTATAGTGAGGCTCTTGAAAAGGTTCTTATTTTTGAAATCAATAATAGTAAATACTATTCAATTTCAGCTGATAAAGCATCTGATTGTGCCAATCTTAAACAGTAGTCTGTTGTTATAAGATATAAAGGCAATAACTATAATACTTGTAAAGATTTCTTAAGGTTTGTTGACTGTACTTAATTATTTAAATGTGCTCTTAGTCGAAAATTACAGGCATGTTTAAACAATTATCTTTCTGATGGTAAAGCAAAGCTAATCAATGTCTGTTTTACTTATTGTGTTCAAGAACAGAAAAGTCTAGGCATTTTTTTAGCTAAAGTCTCTTCATAGTTGATGTTTGAATTTTATTTCAATGTAACTTTTAAAGTTTCAAGCAAAATTTGACGAATTAAAGTTTTTAGATTGTTATTATACTCCACAATACTACATGTCTCAAATTTCAGAATCTTGAAATTGACAATAAAAAAAATACGCTTTAAGTGAATAAATTTGGTGTTAATTTATATCGCTACAACTGGTCTAATATTTTGAATTAGCTATGACTTTAAATGTAAAAGAAAACAAAAAACAAGAAAACGTGGAAAGCAAATCAATTATGATAATCACTCATCATCTGATTATTTTAAGCTTTTTATCACTTTACCTCTACTGGATCATTTTATTAATGAGCTTATTAATTATATAATTTTTTAAACAGAAAGCAAGTTGGTTTATATGGGATGTTTGCAGTTTCGACTGTCATGTTAAGTTACCTAAAAACTAAGATTTGCAAATCTTTTTTCAGGAATTTCTAGATATCTATTATTCCAACTCTGCATTCAAATTTTATTCATGCAGAGTTGGATTATGGAAGCCTCTTTAGAAAGATCAACCAAAACCCCTATCCAGTAATTTTTAAACAAAAGTGACAATGACTGATTTCCCCAAAATTCTTAAATATTTTAAAGATTTAATTCTAGGTACGAAGAGATTAAAAACTTAGTCAAGAAGTAGAGTGTTAAAAAAGTCATTGAATGACCTAGCTTGTATATTAATTTATACCGGAACGGTTCTTGGTAAAGACAGGGTTAAGAAATTTTTTCAGCTTGTGGAGAGAGTTTAAAGTTGCTATTTAAGCCTTAAATAATTGGCTACTATTGAATAATAATTATGCTTATATGTAAATAAAAGATTTGAATATCTCTTATTTTTACAATGATTTTTTTGTTTTAGCTTCCTGAGGATTCTATAGATTCTATAGGGAGGCTGTTTAAATCTTTTTTTTTAATGTTCATTTATATATTGTAGTATACAACTTTAAAGTAAATATCTTTTGAATAAATCACAATATCATATTAGAAATGCAGTAATAATTGCATTTATTCTATTAGTTACAAAAATATAAAGGAAAGAATCCATAACTGGAGATCTAACTTAAGGCAACTTTACAACTTACATATGGAATGCAAAGTCCTATGGTTTACCTTCTAGTTGGTGTACTACGTTAAGTTAGACATTATGTCTAAATTACGAACAGATTAGCAAAGGCAAACTTTATATTTTACCATTAAATATTTTACTAGAATCCATTAAAAATAAATGAAAAATATATCTGTACAAAAAGTAAATTAAAGACGCTCAGATAAAAAAACTATCTGGCGGCGTCTACATGACGTAATTATCGGACGTCTTTTTGACGTAGACAAATCGACTTGCAATTATGACGTAATTTTCAAAATTTTAGCTACACCTATATAAAATCCTAGATCCGCCCCTGAAGTGTATTAAGGGACACAATGGTTATAACTGATTTGAGCATTGTGTTCAGAAAGAACACAATGCTCAAATTTATAAATATATGTATATATATATATATATATATATATGTATATATATATATATATATATATATATATATATATATATATATATATATATATATATATATATATATATATATGTATATATATATATATATATATATTATGTATATATGTATATATATATATATATATATATATATATATATATATATATATATATATATATATATATATATATATATATATATATATATATATACATAAATATATATATATATATACATATATATATACATATATATATACATATATATATATATATATATATATATATATATATATATATATATTTATGTATATATATATATATATACATATATATATATATATATATATATTATATATATATATATATATATATATATATATATATATATATATATATATATATATATATATATATATATATATATATATATATAAGCAGAGCTTTGACTAGGGGGCTCAATTTCAAATTTAGGGGCCTTTTTACAAATGTAAGGATTTTTTTTTGTTTAGTATTATTGATTGGAAAAGTTTTTAAGAATTTTGGGGCACTTATGACAGGTTTTTTTCGAAGAGAGGGGGCTTAAATCTAGTAGCTCCGGCACTGTATATAAGGTATATACAATATATATCAAATTATAAACGATATAAATAAAAAGTTATATTTATATAATAGTTTTATGTAATTTACTTATCAGTAACTAAAGGAATGTTATCATTTTATTATATGAATTACAAGCATATGTTTATCATATTGAACTCAATATTGAAACGAGATATTGTGTAAAGGAGTTTTCAAAGAAGTTGTTTTAACAACAATGGTAAAGCATCCAATTTGCGACATGAAAGCATTTGATAAACAATTAAAGGGTTGATGGCATAAATTTTGTTCATGAACTTGTAAATTTGTATAAGATCACCTTTTTTATCTTCTATTTGATAGATTTTGTAAGTCCATTTTATCTAATCTTTCTTTTTTTTGTAGCCAAATTTTGTAGCTTTTCGATGAATTTTTTCTATTAAGTTTATATCTTTAATAAAATATGGGTTCCACACTTGAAAAGCATATTCTAAGTGTGGCCAAACGAGTGACATATATAACAGTTTTGTTGATGTTTTATCTGGAAAGAGAATTGCGTGCTTTAACATACCCATTTTTTGATTCGCCTTACTTATCATATTTTCAATGTGGTCTTCCCATTTTAAATTGTCCGAAATATAAACACTAAGGTCTCTTTCCAATGACGTTACTATTAGTCCATGTTGAATAATCTCTGTTTCTGTAGCATTATATTTTAAATTATACTTTTTTTTTCGGATTATCACGACCAAAAATGCATGATTTTACATTTATCTTTATTAAAACTGATGAGCCATCTTTTAGTCCAGTTAAATAAAATGTCAAGATCAAACTGTAGAGAGTTATTTATTTTATTTTTTTCAAGAACTGCAATTATTTTAAATTGTCTGTATATAGTTTTGCTTTATTATTCAATTTTTTCGTTAAATCATTTATATAAATTATAATAAGTAAGGGTCCTAAGACCAATCGCTGTGGTACCCCACTACGAACTTGTTTCCATTTTGATTCAAACAGTCCCAAAACAACTATCTGTTTTCGATTTGCTAAAAAAGCTTTACACCATTGCAAAAATTTTACAACAATACCAAATGACTTAAGTTTTAAGAGCAGCCAGGAATGCGGAACTGAATCAAATGCCTTAGAAAAATCTAAAAAGGCAACATCAACGCATTTTCCACAATTTATTGCACAAGTTATAAATGGTTCATTATTGCATCCTTAACAATACTTTCTATTACTTTACAAACAACAGAGGTCAATGAAATTAGACGGTAGTTACCTGCATTCAACCTATCCCCATTTTAAAAATTGGAGTGGTATTCGCTTTTAACCAGCTTGTAGGCAATGTTCCAGTTAGAAATGATTGGTTAAATATCAAACAGAGTGGTCTTGCTAAACTGTCAGCACACTAACTTAAAAACATTGGATGAGTTTTATCGATACCGAGGGACTTGTGCACATTTAGATTCAATACTTGTTTTTTAGTATCTTTCTCATTAAACAATGGGGTTGGGCAAATTTTTTCTGTTA